AATGTGTTTAGAGAAAATCTACAGATAAAAAGACACTAAACCACTCACCCAATTAGGATCTTTGAACCAAAATAACTCAAATATCTTCAGATGACTCTATCTAGCTGGCTTCAAGTCTACCACAACATACCATACATCTATCTGACCATGTATATAATTTTATTGGGCATTTGAGGTTTTCACGATAAAGGAGTAGTCTTTCTTATTCTTATCCCTTTCCACACACTTAAAAAAGTCACTTTTAAACAATGAAATAATTGTAGTAATCTTAAATGCATATAGATGACATGTATACATGCATATAACACAGATGCTCTATGTGAATATACATCAACATTTGTATATTAGACTGGCACCACCAGGTCACACCATTTATCCTGCTACGTTAGCACTCAGGTATTTCTCATACACTTAGTCAAAAGCTTACTGACTCGGTTTTTCTATATTCATCTAAGCAAAAAATTCATTAGCACTTCAAAAAGCATTTCCCACTAGCTGGAATTTTAATTGGCAATAAGTATGTAATAGTTCCCTAATTAAATTAGAAGGAATATTATCAAGGAAAGGTCTCTTTGTTCTGTGTAATCATCTTTCCTGTGATGCTGTTAAGATTCTGAGATGATTTATAGCACCAAAAAAATTCATTCTTGAAGTCACAACCTTTCATATTCACTTCCTATGGTGCATCTTTCCCTCTTTACCAACTGTACCTTCTTTACCAATTACAAACAATCACATTTCATTTCTAATGGAAAGATGCTCCCCCACTGCCTGTTTTGATCTCTCACAGCTGCTAATGACAAACCAACCCTGCAGGATTTAAAGGAAAACAGATACCAAGCCAGTTTCCCAGTTGTGAACTAGAGGAACCCACATGTGTGAAGCTGGGTCTAAAAACACACTCAATAATTTTGTGATTACAAACGTCTCAATTATACATTTTTAGAAACACACATAACTAAAAATGTAGAAATCTACACCACGGTCGTCTATGAAACACCAAGTTCATTATTAAGTAGTTCTAAATTAGCCACTGGTAATTGACTTTTCCAAAGGATTCCATCCTCCCCACTACCATTTCATCTGTTTTCTATATATAAAAAAAAAAAAAAATCAAAGAAATTCAAGATATGGAAAAGACATGCCGGTCGAGGATCTGAAAGTGATTTGGTCGCTTTGGAGCTGACGCACTCTTGGCCTGGTGCAGCTCATTTGGAAAGCTGCCTCACATTTCCCGTGGTCTTGAACTTTTTTTTTTTTCCTTACCACTTTCATCTAGCAAGAAATCGTCCTGGTAACGGAACTTCTCCGGTCCGCATGCAATAAAAATGTCATCATCTCCGAAGAAGTCTTGAAGGCACACCACCTACAAGAGAAAAGTATGAGGCTCAGTACGGGGTCAGCAGCACAGCGCTCAGCGCCGGGGCGCCCCGCACGCAGACATCTGCACCCCGCCACTCACTCCCCACGTCTAATGGAGTCAACAGCACAGCCTCTCCCGAGGAATCTCAAAAGGACGTTTCCAGCATCTGTTACTAGTAAGAAACATGTTACATCTGAGTTGTGCAGGGAGACGGGATAAGGAAAATAGAACCAGTAACTGTCACATTTATGACTTGATATATCAATAGGCTATGAGGTAAGAGCCCTTTATGTCCATGACGGAGTGGAGGCAGCAATGTGTGGAAATGGAGAGACCCTTTATTCTTCTGAATGTAATATTCCCTGACAGCAATAAAAGTCAGCATTCGGTTTTAGCAACAAATAGGTTATTTAGTAACTGATGCCATACATGCACATGAGGATGGCTGCTCAGGGTGATTAGGGAAGAAAACTAGGTGTGTCATATGGATATCAAGTTCTCCTTTAGATCCATTCTACCTCTCATTGAAACAAAAATGGAATTCTTCATAAAAGGCATAATAGAGAAAATAAGTGATTTCTGACAAGCAGATATAGAGACAAGGCAGCTGTATGTCCACCACTAAAGTTAGGCTAAACTTTAAACCTCCTGAGTTGCCCAGCTTCTTATAATAGTCATGAAAAAGGACAGCTTTAAAACAACCTTTTTGATAGTTATTAAACTTATTCTCCAATAAAAACTTCGAGAGCTACATGTTGAAAATGTGGCCAAAATGAGTGATTTCAAGCCTCACTCTCTGCCTTTCGATATGAGTCCTCAAATGCAATAATTTTTAGACTTCAGATAGTTTTTCCAAATAGTTTTGCATTTCCAAATAGTCACTTGTAACAATTTATAATAAGCATTAAACACGAGTGAGGTACACCCATAGTTATCAGTGCTTATTCTGTCTATAAAAGCTTGAAAACATAGGGGATTTAAGAGGGACATTGCCAACCTCCAGGAAGGTGGACCAGAAGTCTTCAAAAGTGATGTCACCTCTCACCTTCTTCTTGGGTTAAAAACAGGCCCTTTGAATTCAGCACCCACTCTGTTTCACTGTCTTTCTGATTCCCACCACGACCTTGTCCATCTTTATTTTCATGATACCGCACGCCCACCCCGGGTTTGTTTGTTTGTTTTTTCATCAGCATTAGTGTTACCCCAACCAACTGCATGCAGGCCACTTGCATTTACGTGCATAAGTCTTCACTGTGCCTTCTATAGACAAGTGAGCACACAACATATCCATACAGAATGAGTAAGTCATGGTCTCTCCCGCAGGCAAAAAAATGAACGGTTAACACAAAAAGCAGTATTTCCTAAACTGAGAATGGCTAATAGGCTTTGTGCAACAACAAAAAAAGGGGGTAGGGTGGGGATTCTAGGGCCAAATTTTGTGATTTTGGAAATACTGAATTTATCCAATATAAACAGGTTTCCTTATTTCTGGTCTTGTCAAAACCCTTCATGTGCTAATGCACACCACAACTCCAAAGAGGAGAGAGAAAAATCCAGTGTTTCCCAAACCTATCTGATTCTGGAACTCCTTCCTCACACAGCAGAGTACGGACTAGTGTCAGAGAGCCCTTTGCCCACAGTCACAGTTGAAAAGAATTCAAAGGACACACAGAGGAAAGGACAGCACCCCACTCCTCTCCTAGGGAGCCGTATTTCTCTAGCTGTAAGTATTTATTTGGTAATTTTTTCTAATTCGAGCATTTATGATGGGCTTACACTGTGCCAAGCTCCATGCCTAACATCATGATGAGAAACCTCGGATACATGGAAAATACTATTTTCCAAAGGAAATGGTCCTTCTTTCCACATAGTCCCATCATTTGCATTCTAGAACATCAGATTGCAAACCAGATCACAGTCACCTGTGTCTGCCTGTTTTATGCTATTGCCAAGGGGACAAATAACTATCACCAAAACTACAACATATTTTAAGCAGCCCGCCAGTCAACTCCCTCCCGTCGCGTACCCAAGACCACCCTCTACTAAGCCTGGTACTCAACGGAACAGCCAGTGATCCAGGTTGGACAGTTTAGGTCTAATTCTTTTGGCAAGTAGGAAATGAAACATGATTAACTTTTGATGTTATTTCCAATTCCAGGATTCTGGGAACATAAAAGCAGCACAGTGCTTGTTACAGCAAAGTAACTGTCATTGACCAGCACAGTAAGACAGGGAAAGGCATTCCAGTGCCAAGCGACATGTGCGCATTTACCTCTCAATCTTCAAAATCAAAGAATTAGTTCAAGCATCAGAAACTGTGATGTTTTCTGTGTTCTCTGCTCCAGCACTAGTGGCCGTTTCCCCGCTCACGTCCTCCCACCCGAGAAGGTGGGTAGGGTCCGTGGATCAAATCTAAAATGATAAAACTGGTTTTTCTTAGAAGCGTTGGTCAAAGATTTGATAGTAAAGATGGCTCTAACACAAGGATATGATAGAGATGGATTTAGGATAATCTGTGCATTTCAATGATCTCTGCTCCCACTCTCTGTCATTGACCCAGAGAGAGTTGGAACATGTTCCACCTAACAACAACAAAGAAGACTAACAAAGCAAGGTTCACATGCTCTTCTTTAAGCCAATGTATTTTAAGAATTTCCTTTAGGCATTACTGTACATTCCGATATCAAAGGATTGGAGAAAGTAGAGAAATATAAAACTGATGTTTTACATAATGAACTGATGTTACATATCTATGCAGTGTTATTCCTTTTTAAATCTGAGGTTCTCAAAGTTCAGTGTGGTAATCAGCTTTAAAAAGAAAGTTCCATTTATGGATTAAAAAACGCACTCCCTGCTGTAAGGGGGTAGTAGTGGTTGCTCTAGTATTCATTTATGGAATTTTGCTCGGAGGTATCAGATGTTGGCAGCACCCATCAAGATTAGACACAGGGAAGGTACGAAGGTAGAGATACTGAGTTGGAGAAAAGAGAGATGTCCAACCTGTGAGAAGTAGCAGCTCCCCTTCCAAGCTTTCTGGAGGCACCGCGGTCCTCCTGGCCCCCTGCAGAGCTGGAATTACCAATGCCTGCCCTTCCCCACTGTCTCACTTCAGCCATGGAAGTGCCTTTGCAATCTCTCTCAAACCTGCGCCCTTCCCTGCCCACCTTCCCTTTACCCCCATCACCACGTCAGTCCGGAGCTTGTCCGCCTGTGGGCCTTGGCACGTCCCTCGGGGGGGTTTTCTCCCTTCCACCTTCTTCCTCTCCAGGCCATCCTGCTTAATTTTGTTAATCTATTCTTTCTTCGTAAATTTTCAAAATCACTCTCCGTGACTCAGAAAAATGTCAGCGGCTTACCATAATCAAGTTAAAGTTCATCGTCCAAGACTGGCTTTCTAGACTCCTCAGAATATGGTTCCAACCTACGTTTCAAGTTGATAACAGCTTTTAGCCGTGATACGGTGCCTAATACTTACTAAGCATTTGTTGGGTGCATGGATGGATGGATGCATGGATGGATGCATGGATGGATATAAGGGCTATGCTCTATCCCGAAACATGCTCCAATTTATCTGCTTTACCTACTCTTCTCAGAAAAGGGCTATGTGTGGCTTTTTGTATGATATTTTTCCCTGTTTGTTATCCCCTCCTACCTAACTCTTTTCTCATTTAAATCCCTGACTCAAAGTTCAGTTGAAAACTCAAGCCTTACCTTTCTATCCACTCCAATACAACGTGACTTACCCTGCTCTGAACCTCCAGTCATCCGTCAACAAATGTTTATTGAACACAAATCATTTGCCGACCACTGCGGTGGACCTTGAGAATACAACCGCCCTCGGCCTTTGCCTCATCTTTTCAAACGTATGCGCACAGACTTACACTCCCAACTCTTCCTGACACGCTGTTGTGAATTAGTAACTCGGCAGAGAGCAACACGCATGACTTCCCTGTGGTTTCCGTCATGAGCCTGCAGTCAGTGCTGAGTCACAGCCCCTACTTACACCGTGACCACCGCTGACTTGCACAAGTCAGAAAGAAAAACCCAGTCGGCTCCCTTGAAATGTGTCCTGTTTCTAAAGACCCTAAATGTGGTCAGGGCAGGGGCCGTGTCCCTCGCTGGGTGTGGCTCGCCAGCCTCACGGAGGTATCCGCTCTGGCACAATTTCCTCAGATTACACCAAAGTCAGGCTCTGAATTAACCCAGCTCGGCCACCTAGATGGGAGGTTTCATGCCTCGACGTACCGCATCAGTTGTTTTAAGGATTAGAAGACTTAAGACTGTGAATCAGAAAAGAATAATAAGTCCTCAATACATTTTAGCTATTTTATTAGCCCAAATGTATTGTTACTTCCAAATAAATAAAAATCAAATGCGTACCTAAATGAAAACATTTTTAAAAACTGTAGTGTGTAGCTCCTGGTCACTATGCCAACAGTGGCAGCCCCTTCTCACTTCGGGTGATTCTACTAGTATAATTATTTTTGTGACAGCGTATTTTGAATTAGCATCAGTGAAATGGCACAAAGCTGGTACACATCGCTAACATGACGCTGGAATGTGGTCCATGCTCTGGTTTCCATCCAGCTTCCACTGAAATGGTGCTTGTGAAAATCATTTGCAAGTGCAGTCACATGCTACTACAGGTATAACTGTATGAACTACTGTCTTAACTCGGGACCTCTTGGGACCTGTCACCAACAATTATTCTGTAGGAACCAGAGAGTTCTACTCCTCTGAGAAAACTGTCCTGGGTCAAAACGTCCCTACACTAGAAAAGGAATTGTATGGGTATGACATGTGCTTAATATCCTATCCACTAACTTTGAGTTCTTACCTAGTGCTTTGGTTATTACGTGAAAATCTAACCCCAAATAGAAACATTCCATTTTTTGCATCAGAGTTTATCTCTGATGGTGCTTAAGAGTGTATCTCCAAAAAACATGGGTGTTAGATCCCACCAGATGTGCTGGAAAAAAACCTTCGATGAAGGACAGCTGGGT